TCCTGGTGACGGGCTACGCTGCGGGCCGAGCACGGCGCTGCGCCTGGGACCGCCCGCGCATGGAAGCGCGGCGCGAGCGCTGGCAGGCCGCGGACGACATGGGCGGCCCGAAGTACGAGCGCGTCGCCAAGGCCAAAAGCACGCAACCCTCAGTTCCGCGCGGGACGGCAGCACCAGCCAGCCTCGATGACTACGGGGGCAACAGGGCCGCCGACGGCTTCGGCAAGCGGAGCGCTGTGCTCGACCCCGCGAGCGAGGCGGCGGCGTCGCGAGCTTCGCTGGCCGACGAGATCGCGGCGTCGACGGCCCGCTGGCTCGGCGAGGCGCTGCAACTCGGGCACGCCGCCCTCGCGGCAGCCGACGGCGCAGACGCCGCTGCGGCGGAGCCCACTTGCTGCGGGCGCGGCTGCGGGCGGCAGGGGGTCGCGCGCTGCCGCGGCGGCAACCCCGACTTCAGACGCTGGCCCCGCGGCGCCCACAGCACGGCGGTCGCGGAGGCGGGCGCGGCGCGCCGGCTCTGCGACCCGCGCGCGGACCGCTCGAGCGGCGCGCCCATCCACGGCGGGCCCTCGGCCGCGACGCCGAGCGGCGACGGCGCGCGCCCTGCTCGCGACAGCGGCCATGGGGCGCCGCTCCAACCGCCGCGGAACCAACCCAGTGCAGAGGGATGACGGCTCGGAAACGCGGCGCTGCAGGCCAGGACGCTACCGCGCGGCCCGGCCGCGCGCGAGCCGAATCGAGCGCGGGCCGCCGCGGCGCCGCGGCTACCGCGGCCGCCTCCGCCACGGCGCCGGCCGCCGGCGCGCTCGCCGCCCAGGCCCGCGGCGAGGCCCAGGGCGCCGATGGCGGCGCGGAGAAGGGCAATAGGGCGGCGGGAGCTGAGGGCCCGCCTGGCCCCGAGGGCGGCGCAGCGGCGACCGCGGCGCCGCAGCCGCGGCAACCTCCCGCGCACGGGGCGCCAGAGCACCGGCAGGGAAGCCCAAGGACTTCCCCAGAAATGCTGGACTTGCCCGGAAGTGGCGCGGCGGCCGCCCTGGCGGCCCCAGCAGCGGCCCCGGCAGAGCTGCCGGCAGCCCCGCCAGCCACTCTGGCGGGTCGCCCCGCCGCCGCGCGCCCTCGAGGGCGGGGCGCGCCGTTCGACCCGACCCACCGCCTGCGGGTGCGCGGCGGCTTGTACACTGCGCGGCGCGCGGGTGCAACGCCGACGGGCCGCGGGCCGCGGACCTCCGCGCCCGCTGCGCGGAGGGGGCCGACGCCCGCCGGGCGGCCGCGCCGCGCCGCATGCGGCGGGGGATGCACCCAACCAGGGGCGGCGAGGCCGTGCTGGGCGGCGGCAGGCCCGCGCCGCTGAGGACGGACGTGGACGGCCGCCCGCGGAGCCGCTCGCCGCGGCGGTGAGCAGCCCGTGCAAGGGCCCGCCGCCGTCGAGGAAGCGCCCCCGCGCAATGAAGCTTCCCGCCGCCGAGCGCGTGGACCAACAATGCACGCGGCGCGGCGCGCGTGCGAGCGCACCGCCCCCCCCTCCGCCCCCCCCGGGGCCCTGCGGGCCGTCGCCTTGCTGGGCTCGGCTCGAAATTCTGCGCGTTGTCGGCCTGGGCCTCGCGCTGGCCCTGGCACCCCGCGTCCGCGTGGTTCTTGGGGCCTCGGCCTGCAGGCCTTCCACGTGGGCGACCTGCGGGCGCCCTCCTCGTCGGCTGAATTCGGCTCGGAACTCTCGACGGCGCTGGCCTGGGCCTCGAGAGACCCTGGCGCGCCGCCACGGGAAAGACGTCCTCTGGTCGTCAGGAATTTCGCGGCGGATGCTTCCCTTCGGCCCTGCCCGCCTCAGACTGCAGGGTCGGTAGCGGGTAAACGCCCGTCCGGCTGGTGGCCTCGAGTGGCCCCAGCGCCTGCGCACGGGAATTCAGCACGGCGTCGACACGCCCTGCCCCCCGACCACTAGGCCAGCTCATCATCATCATCACCACCATCATCACCATCATCATCATCAGCAGCAGCAGCATCATCAATACCATGATTGGCACCACCACCATCAGCATCCGCATCAACATCAGCACCATCATCATCATCATCATCATCAGCAGCATCAGCATCATCAGCACCATCACCACCATCATCTGCATAATCATCACCAGCAGTAGCACCAGTATTATCATCATCAACATCATCGTCACGATTATGATCACAATCAACAGTATAATCACCATCATCATCATCAGCAACACCAGCATCAATCGCATCAGTAGCATCATCCGAATCACCATTATGATTATCATATTCAACAGCAACATAAGCATCATAAGCATCAGCGTCAGCATCATCGTCAGCATCAACTGCATCGTCATCACCATCATAGTCATCATCATCACCATACTATCATCAGCATCAGCGTCACCATCATCATTGCCATCGTCGTCGTCATCAGCACCGTCATCAGCATCACCATCACCATCAGCGTCATCAACACTATCGTCATGGTCAACAGCATCAGCATCAACCGCAGCATCAGCATCAGCATCACCATCATCATCATGAGCATCATCATCATGCGTACCCTCATCAGCATCACCATTAACACCAGCACCAGCATCATCAGCAGCAGCACCAGGGATATCAAAATCACCATCATCAGCACCTCACCACCATCGTCATCGACAACAGCAGCATCATCATCATCATCATCAGCAGCATCATCAGCAGCATCATCACCACCACCACGGTCATCATAAGCATAAGCATCGCCATCATCAGCATCAGCATCATCATCATGATCCTCGTCAGCATCATCGTCACAACCATGACCACCACCACCACCGCCATCACCAGAAGAAACATCATCATCACAACCACCAACACCACCACCAGCATCATCAACATCATCACCACCACCATCCATACAACCACCACCACCATTAGCACCACCAGCATCCGCATCATTATCATCACCACCACCACCAGCATCATCATCATCACAACCACCACCACCACCATCATCATCATCATCATCACCATCATCAACATCATCATCATCATCATCAGCATCGCCATCATCATCATCATCCGCATCATCATCACCATCGTCCTCGCGGACCAAGTCATGGGAGACCAGGGTTCAAGCCCACGTCCTCCCACCCCCTCCTCCCACCTACCCCCGCAGGCTCCTCCACCACGAGCGCCGCAGGAGCAGCAGAAGCAGCAGCAGGAAGCCTTGAGGCCCTGGGGCCTCAGAGCCACTCGGTCTTGCCCGGGAGGGCTTCAGATGGGAGCGCACGGACCGCCCCGCCCCACTCACTGCCCTCCTCCGCGGGCCCCAGGAGGACGAGGACAAAAGCTGCAGCAGGCCGACTGCGTGCGACGACCCCTCCCCCACCCCACGGGAGGCGCTCGGACCCCCGGAGGAACTGCGCGCGGGTGCCGGACTGGAGGCGCGCACGGAGGGCCCTTCCGCGGACGCGCAGGCGGCGCAGGGCGACGACTGACTTCCGCCTGGCCCGCGGACACCCGCTCTGCTGTCCATGTGGACGCCCGAAAAAGATCAAGGGGCCCAAGGACACACAAATAAATACACACAAATAAAATAATTCCCCATATGTTCCCCTATTTTCTTAGCTTCTTGTCTTCCCGCCCAGTTCCAACATTTTACTATATTTTCTTGGGGATCGACGATTAATTGTGTTTGTGTGTTTTTTCCCTCCTGGAGAGAGAGCGAACAAAAACGGCATACGCATAAACTGTCGGATGGCCGCACTGGGGCCCCGTGGCGGCGCCTCCAGCGCGGTCCCTGGCGCGCTGCGCGCGCCAAGAAGAGGGGTCCAGCGCAGATCCAAGAAATCCACACGACGCTCCGAAAGTGTGAGTGTATGTCACATTTCTTCAATGAAATTGGTACGGCAACAAAAATGGCACGATGCCCAACAGCAAAGGCTGTCCTAAACCAACAGCGACCGCTGTTGGGCAGGCGACTGCTTGTCTCAATTGGACAACGCCCGCGGCGAACGCCGACAGCGAGCCCTGTTCGGAATGAACAAGAACTGCTGCCGGTCTGAAGAAACATCCTTTCCGTACCCATGTCGACCGTACCGAAAGTCTACCCAAAAGTCGCAGCGGATCCTGGTCGGAAAGAACACTCGGCGAATCATGGCGGCCCACATCGACTCCGAAATGCCCGCACTCGGCTCCCACCACGGAAGCCTGCGGGCGAGGAGGATGAGGAGGAGGAGGTGGAGGAGGAAGAGCACAGGGAGGAGGTGGAGGACAGGGAGGAGGAGGAGGAGGAGGAGGAGGAGGAGGAGGAAGGGAGCAGGAGGAGAAGCAGGAGGAGGAGGAGGAGAGGAGATGAGGCGGGGGGGAAGGAAGGCAGGAGGAGCGAGGAGAGCAAAAAACGGCCGCTCCCCAGAGCCCGCCGCCCCACGCGGGGAAGGGGAGGAGTCATGGAGAGCGCAAGAGGCTGAGGGGGAGGGAGGAAACCGGACGACGGGAGCCAGGCACGGGAGGAGGAGCAGGAGGAGGAGGAGCAGGAGGAGGAGGAGGAGGCCTCTGCCCTGGCAGCAAGACCGACAGCGCAGCCCGTGGTTGGGCAGCCCTCCCGTCTTACACTGCACAGGGCGAGGCGTGGCCACTGCAGGCAGGCCTGGTGGCACCTGACCTCGGTCTGCATCTGGGCTCGAAGAGGTCTTGTGCCCCACTGCTGGCGAGGGCCACCTTCCAGGAGGGCCCGAAATCGAATCGATGAGTCCGATCGGCAATCGAAATGACTCGGATCGGAGGAACTCGGCCGAGTCCGGAGGAGTCGAATCGGCGGACATCGGCAGGCTGGTAGGCCTCAACTGAGAAATCGGAAACCACATCGGAATCCGAAGTCGAATCGAATCGGAATCGGAATCCGTCGAGATCGAATCGCATCGGCGGAATCGAAACGAGCACTGTCCTTCTCCCCTGCACCCTTCTCACGGCCTCTGCCCCGCTTCCCTCACGATCCAGGCCGCATACCTCGGTTGGCCGAGGTATTGCCAACCGAACGGGAGCGGGCCACGGCCCTTCGAACTACCGAGGTTGGCCGAGGTTGGCCGAGGTGTCGCCAGTCTGGGATCGTGCGCACATCGCCCTGCACCCGTCTCACGCTTCCCCCTGGAGCCACCAGCAGAACACGCCAGCCCAGGGCTGCTATGGGAAGGTGGCTGGGTTCTTGGTGGGTGCGGCACGCCGCGCGTCCAGATATTGGGTAGGCGAAGAACTAAAACATGACAAGATACGTGTGCAAATATCTATATATATATATATATATACATGTAATTAAAAATAATAATAATAATAATAATAATAATAATAATAATAATAATGTTAATAATAATAATAATAAAAATATAATAATAATAATACTAATAATAATAATAATAATACTAATAATAATAATGATAATAATAATAAGAATAATAATAATAAACTCAAGAACTCGTCCCCGTACTACGTTTGATAATATTTGGACATTCCCACTGTAGAGAGACGCGCTCGACATAAGTCTAGATGTGGGGACGTCGCTCACGATCGGCATGCCCGAAATGAATACCGAAAAAACTGGGGTGCGATGCCCAACAGCAAGAGTCGTCCATAACAGGCAGCGGCCACTATTGAGCAGACGACGGTTGTATCTCAAGCGGGCAACATCCACGGCGACACCGACGACAAATCCTGTCAAGTATGGGCAAAGACTGCTGCTGATATCCGTCCCCATCCTTCCCGTCCTCATCTCAAATCGCACCAACGCACGGGCCGCTCAGGCTGTGCCTGATAATTGCCGACGGGTCGTCGGCTGCTCGCTGTGAAGGCCTGGCGCTGCTGCCTACTGACACCCAGCCCCTCCTGGGCTCGGCGCCGTTGGCGCTCGTCGTCCCCGCCAGACCTCCTATCCTGACCTCCGCCAGTGGCGCCGCGGTGACCCTGGAGGAAGCGTCTCCCTCCTCTCAGCAGGAGGGCAACGGGTCCCGAGGGAACCGGGTCCTGGGCCCCGGGGCCCTCTTCCCCCAGGAGCACCTGCTCATCCGGAGTCGTTCTCCGACAGTCCCGGGGCCCGAGATCCCGAAAACGGCTAAAATGCTCGGGACCCGTTCCCATCAAGGACCCGTTCCCCTCAGGACCCGTTCCCCCCGTGGCGATCCTCATCGGCAATCCGCACCCCGCAGGCCCGCCGGCAAAGGCGACGCCGATGCTCGCGCTCTGCGTCGGTCGAATCGGCTCCACGATGATGTCCCGCTCGGCGACGAGGGCCCGACGGCGGACACGCCGACTACCGCAGCGGTCGAGGAGTTGCCACCGAGGCCCCAGTAAACGCGACTCAAGGCCTCTCGCGCATGAGGCTGGCTGCTACGCTTGGTAGCGGCAGGCAGCTGGGCAGCGTGCGCCGGTCGATAGTTCATATTAAGCCCTTTAGGTGGCAACAAGCTGGCATGGTGGCTGCATGACGCGTACACCTTTATAGTAGGGGGTGCTATAGCAGTCGTGGTATATAGTAAGGGTGGTAGTAGTCCTAATACTAGTTGTGCCCGCACTTGTAGCGGCATTAGCGATAGTAGTAGCAAGGGTCGTAATGGAGGTGAACGAGGAGGAACTCTGCTACTGACTTGAGAACAGTCGGGAAGTGAGCTGGCGCTGATCGCCAACTACCGTGGCGGCGGACCTGCTCCATCTCAAGGACGCCGACGAACCCTGTCTTGTTCCTGCAGCGGGAAGGACACAAGCTTTAACAACCTCATCCTTTCCATCTTCCTCCTCCTCATGCTGGTCCTCCAACTACTTCCTGCTTGTCCTCCTCCCACTCCCCTGGTCCCTTCCCTTGCCTCCTCTCCCACCCTCTCCGACTTGGCATACTCCCATATTATTCCTCCTGTGCTCCTCCTGCCTCCTCCGAAGTTGCCCTCCCCTTTCCCTCCTCCGCGGCCGCCCTCTCCTGTTCCACGCTGTATTCTGCGCAACTCGCCTTGCAGTGGCCCCGCTTAGGCTTTGAACGCGGTACGCGATCGCCATCGCTACAACGAACAACGGCAACATACAATTTCCCCTCTCCTCGTTCCCCCACTCTCCCTCGTGAGACTGATCCAGATGCTGACTGCTACAGCACAGCTAGAGACCTCCCGAATGGGTTCCGAGTAGATGGTCTTGGAGGATCGCGACGCATCGCCGATACACCGCCGATGCATCGGCGGTGCATCGGAGACGCATCGGTGATGCAATGGTTACAATCGTCGGTGCATCGGCGACGTCTGCGCGGAGAAAGTCGGGCTCCCCATCGAGGCGCATCGACAACACATCGGCGATCGGCGCGACCCTCCGACCCCACCAGCTCGAGCCCCATCGGGGGCGGCCCGGAGCAGCACGGGGACGGGAGGAGGAAGGGCTGGACGGGCACAGGCAGGCGGGGCAGAGGGCGGGGCACAGGGCGGGGCAGAGGGACGGGCAGAGGGCGGGGCAGAGGGCGGGGCGCGACGGGCAGCGATCATCATCAGC